TACTAGAAAACCTTGACAAATTAATTTATAAGTAGCATCAGCATGTATATGTTGTGACATAGATACAATGTTGAGCAAATGAATAGATGATATAAAGATACGAAATTTAATTCCGCCATCATCTTCTACATCTTCATCATCTTTATATTCTTCATCATTATATAATATCCTGTATAATACAACAAAAGATTTATTTTCATCAAGTGGAATATCTTGATTATTTCCACAGCATTGTTCTAATTCACATAAACTTATTTTATTTGCATCAAATTTCTTTTTTTCTTCTATAATATACAAGATAATTGTTTAATTGTGCTAATGTTGGCATGTTTATTCCTTTTGATTGAAGTGCTCGAAGAATTAGTTTTGGTTTCTTGATACCATCATCAAATAAATTTTCAATGGATTTTTTAACATATTCATCAATACCACAAATTCTATCATTATGATGTTCGTGTGCAGCTTCCATTTGATAAATGGTAATTTTATCACTATCTGAATAGTATAATAAATAAATACTTGCAGGACATTGAGGACCACAACGTTTGACTTGATTGCATCTGTAATAAACTTTTCTTCCATTTTGTGTACAGTTTGTGTAATATTCTGACCACTAGGAGGAAAGTGCACGTTTGGAACTCCCAGCACCTTAGGTACCAAAATCTAGATCATTCATATGAAAATGATTTACAAAAAGTAGTTTCATTTTCGATAATAGACATTAGGCTTTACTTCAAATATACAATAATATGACAACAATAAGTTCCAAAAGGCGAGTATCAAACTCATTTCATAATGTTAAATACAACAAAAAAACACTTTTTTTGAAAAGAAGATTTGTTATTGTTCAAATTTTCGAACACGTACTAATCGATCACTAGATAACTGGCTTCTGCTGTTTATCAGCAGCCAACATTTCGTTTGCTTGTGTAAATATTTTAATGAACCAGCAATACGAATCTGAAAATATTTGTTGACTTGTTGTGGATTAATTTTATCGTATATTCGGCAACCGTGAAAATGTTGTCGTTCTACATCAGAAAGATAGCTTGCCAAAATATTACCTTCTTATTCCTCATCAGTACTATTCGTCGATGATTGATCTTTATTATCAACTACTTCCGAATCATTTGGTTCATCTTACAATTCATCTTCATCACTATCTTCATCAAGATTAATACTTTCTGTATAATCTACTACCTTTGACGAAGATTTACTTATATTAATTTTTATAAATTGACTTAATTCAGGTAATGTGTATATATTTTTATTAATCAATAGCTTGGACATGTTGACCATTGTGACATATTTTTTAGCAGATTCGAATGCATTTTCTATAATCTTTTCAATATCAGATTCTGTTAAATTCAGTTGTTTGATAGGATTTGTTGAATAATTATGTATTTCTTCGTCATTCTTATGATGTTGTAGAAATTTAAAATTACAATCATTTATTTGTCCTTCACGACTTTTAATTGCATTGATAATCTATATTTTTTCACATCTCTTTATAAACGACTTTACAGTACAATTGGTGATTGATGAATAAGGACCTGATAAAGCACGAAAACACGAAAAGTGTTTTCACATGCTTGTGAATTAAAAATATATGTATTAAGTGCCTCAATTGGTATTTTTTTAAATTACTAATAGAGTTATATAAAGTAGTGTGTGGGCATTTATCTCAATGCACCAAAATGCTGACTTCGTAATAAAACTATTTGCTCTAATTTTTTTTATTGATTCTAAATTATCATCGTTACTACTATTTTTTACTTTTACATTTTGTATTCATGCCCACCAAAACGTAAGTTGCCTAATTCAAATTCGAATATGAATGGAAACATAACTGTCCATAATTACTTCGAAAATAAATGGAAAAAAAAGCGGCACCCATGTTAAAATAGCACAAAAGCAAAAGAAAAAGTTTTATACAAATGAGCAGACGCACCCATGCATAAATAGCAAAAAAGCAAAAGAAAAAGTTTTATGTAAATTATAAATTTATAAATGAAAAGGTCCACCCATGTTAAAATAGCAAAAAAGTAAAAGAAAAAGTTTTTTTATAAATTATTAATTTATAAAGAAGAAGGCGCATCCATGTTAAAATAGCAAAAAAGCAAAAGAAAAAGTTTTATATAAATTATAAATTTATAAATGAAAAGGCTCACCCATGTTAATTAACATTTATGAGAAAAAGAAAATTCTTTACAAATAAAAGGATGAATTGGCTGACTAGTTAATGCAGTCTTTCGCGAGTTTTTTCCCTTTTTTCTTTCTTGACGTAGACATCAAAAATTGTCATTTTCTGCTGCGATGATATTGCGAAGTGAAAGTCAGAAAATAACTGTATAAATGCGAGAATGAAATTTCATGATCGAATGGATATCATCCATTTTCTGCTCTTTAATATGACTTTTCATTATTTTATAGAAAGCCATCCAAAAAAGCAAGTTTTTGTAGACTTTGTTTTTTTTTGAATCTTCGAGATTATTAAAACAAAGACTGTAATAAAAGTTAGCTATCTCTCTCTCTCTTTGATTATAGCTAAGACAACTGTGAATACAGTTGATGGTAAATTATGAATTAGAAAGAGAATCAAGTGATTTTTCTATAGAAATGCTTTAAAATGAAAAACAAAACGAGCGACATAGTGCTATTCTCAGAAATAATGTTTAACAAGGTATACTCACATTCGTTCTTTGTTTTATGTATTAAAGAAAAAATAAATAAATGAGAAAAGTAATAGAAGAGCAGAAGTCAAAAAATAAATTGCTAACAAATAAAAAAACAGACGATTGAAAGTAAAAGCATGAAGAGGAGAGAAAGAAAGAAAGAATGATTGAATAATTAGTACAAACGATTACGAGAAAAAAACCAGAAACATGAATTTTAGTTTAAGTTGAGAATTTTTTTATATCTATAAAATTTTTTTAAAATAGAAAGAAGCAAAGGAAGAGAGAGTCTAGCAGATGGGATTTATGGTAGGATCTCCGAGATTGAAGCATTGACAGACACGTTTATAGGTATCTACTCGGGTCAATTGATTACTATAGCCTGGCCCTTGGTCACATTCAACAGCACCGTTGATGATGCGTGTTGTAGCAGCAAAATCACCTATTTGAGCTGGTGCAGCCATACCATTTGCATTGTAGAACCAGAGAGCCGTACTTACTGCTAGTTTAGGATCATTTTCTACCTTGTCTGGATCTGCGAGAAGATCAACACCAAGATATTGACCCGCACTGTAATAGTTACATGGCCATGAGAGCTGAAACCAACCTCGACCATAGTACCATTTTCCCTGTACACCCGAGATGCTGCACCAAGAGCCACTGTATTTTGAACCACAACCTAATATTCGAGAGAAAGATGAAATTTTTCACTTTCAACTAATTCTATATTCAAAGATAATCGATTTTTACTCTGTCGTCTAAATGGAACTCAAGATATTCCGCACATCTGTTTGTGAGAAACGTTTTGAATTTCTATGTTCTGATTAAAATGGACAAAATAGATGCGAATGTCAACGTTATCGATTACAAGTAGAAATGTTGAAATTTTAGAAAAATAATTGATTTAATCTCATTTTATTTCTTCATTTTCTATAGTAGAAAATAACTTTCAATGAATCAGTGTCCCTATTCATAGAGAAACTAGTCTCATGATACACTCTCAAGAATCACGTTGTTCGATATTCAAAAATGTTCCTGTTATACTGAATCCATTAGCTGTCGTCACATATTCAATAATTTAGAAAAGCATACCTGGAGCGCAGTATTCTCGCATTGTCTTGAGTCCATCTGTCTCGTGATATACATGTGCAAGAAAGACAGCAGCTTCGTTCTTATTCATCGGCGTCCATCCTGTTGCCTTTAGTCCGTCGAATCGACTAGCACGTAATGTAGCATTGATCGTGTTGAATACACAAGCAAATGCATTGCTGTCAATAACACCAATCGAACCACTTGCACTGGTGCTAGTACTTATAATCATGGTAGTTCCCGTGCATGGACCCGCTTGACATCCATCACCACAATAATCTGATCCTGTTCCACAGAAGCCCCATTTCGATCGGCATTGAGTTGGATCAGAACAGGCGAGGCCACCTGCAGTGGTACTAGTAGTTATAGGCGTAGTAGTTCCCATGCATGGACCCGCTTGACATCCATCACCACAATAAGCTGATCCTGTTCCACAGTAGCCCCATTTCGATCGACATTGAGTTGGATCAGAACAGGCAAGACCACCTGCAGTGGTACTAGTAGTTATAGGCGTGGTAGTTCCCGTGCATGGACCCGCTTGACATCCATCACCACAATAATCTAATCCTGTTCCGCAGTAGCCCCATTTCGACAAACATTGATTTTTTTTAGAACAGGTAGCACGAGCAAGCCTTCGAGGAATCACGCTTTTCAACTGAAACTCTTTATCATAATTGTAGCCTTGAACATTAAGGAATATATCAATAAAAAGAAGAGAATAGACCAGCGTCGAACAACACATATTTATGTTTGCTCTGACGAAAAAATCTTCTTTAGTATCTAAAACAACAGAACGTAAATGAATATGACTATTCTAATACCTAGTTAGAAAGAGATTACATAAACAATGAATCGGTAAAAATAGCTGACGTAGTGTAAGATTCAGAAAAAGACTGAAGAATAATGAACGCTTAAAGTACATCGACTCAGAAACGATTAACACTACATATTCTTTTTTTTTCACATCAACAAAATCGAAAAGTAGAAGTGAAGAGAAACGGACAGAGACCACTACTTTTTGTTGTTGTTATTATCGATGAGTACATGTTGCAGTTGAGTGCATTTCATACGACAATTACGAGTCGTATAAATAAATGCATTGTACAATAAAAATGGCTAAGCCTTGCTCGATCACGAGTAAAATAGGTTTTTTTTTCGCTAGCTCAAGCAATTTTCACCGATATGTCATGATTGTCGTGGGATGTATCATATACGAAAATAAGCAAAAAATCAAGTGGATAAAAATAAATCACAGGTAAACGATGCATCACTCTCGTCTTGTTGCTGTTTTTTTTGCATTTAGCTCGATTTCGTTTGATTGTACTTTGCATAGTACAATGAAAGTATATGCATTTAACATTCATCATAGTCGAAAAATATCTTAAATTGAATTATGCTATCTGTGATTTCAAGTCGATTTACTGAATTCTAATTGATGCTGTAATCGATCTTTGCAGAATGGTACTTTCATATTTCGTTCGTTTATTAAGAATTTTATGTACACAAAAATTTCATTTTGACTTCAGGAAATTCTCCATACTATTTTCAACAATATTCTTTCAAAAGATTTCTATCGAAGTTTTGAATCAAACTTTTCTGATAGAAAAATTCTGAATCTGATGTAGTGTAATATCACACATAAACGATAATAAAATAAAAAAAAACATTTTTCGTTTAATGAGGCATATGTAAAAACACGATGGGATATATTGGTGGAATGCGATTAAACACATCTCTTATAATAAATCCATCTAGTCGATTTTTAAATGAACTGATTTTCAAAATTTTAATTATTTAGCAGAATAGAAGTGACGAGCAGTGGCCAGACAAAATGCTTGAACTGGAAGAAGATCTGGATTTATTTCAAGAATAAACACATTTTCGAAGGTATCCATAATAAGTAGCTAGATTTTGAGATATATTGGAATACATTCAGCTAAATTTTCTAACGTGTTTGAGTGTCTTTTGTAGATCTCATAGAGAAATTTCCATCTAAACGTATTTCTTCTTATATAAATGTATATAACAGAACATTTTGTTTTA